GAGCGGGAATCGAACTCATGACCTCCATATTGGGACTGTAGCCCTACACATGGGACGCCAGCTCAACCAGGTGAGCTATAGCAGCGCCATCAATGTCACTGTTTAGTTTTTTGTTCCTACAGATCTCCATCATGACTCAAACCTGCAGGACCAGAAAGAAGAAACAAAAAGTCGTCCTTAAAGCGAGAAACTGACCGACTTTCTGCTGAAGGTCAGGAGATGTGATAGAAAGCAGCTTTTAAATGGACCTTCAGATGAGACGGTTTCAGAGTGTAGAACAGATGTTTAAATGTGAATTATTTTCTATGTAAGACCTCCATGTTGATTAATTCTGCTGATATGATTCATTCTTCTTCATTAACATTTAACTCCATTTGTGGCTTTAACATGCAGCTTGTTGCACGTTTTCAAGTCTTTTATACTTCATGCTGTGCAGGTTTGCACATATTCAGATGAATAATCTGCACATTCCATCACTTTTTATCACCTTCAGTTCTCTGGATTTGCAACACTTGCTTGATTTTAAAATCTTTTTATCCCTCTTTGAAAAATTTACTGTAAAACACTAGGTCAGATTTATCGTATGTGGAAACCGACCTGGTAGTAAAACTGTTTTATTACAGTCCTGAAGAGCGTCAGGACTTTAAACTTTAGGGTTTTAACGTTTGCATGGCAGCGTTCTGACTTTTCTCATGGATGTATTTCGTCTTTAACACAACAGATTATGATCAAACGGTTGAATATTTAACGTTTCCTGCTGCTGTCTCTGATGAACCGCTGATAAGAGACGTCTCTGGTTAAACGAACGCTGACTGTGAAGCAGCCTCGGAGGGAGTCGGGCTCTCTGAAGGACTTCACGGTGGACAAACGTGCATCGGTGTTGGATTTTGTTTGAAAAGTCAGACGTCTGCTGGAAACAAAGGTTGACATTTGCTTTGCAGAACAAACGCTGACCTCGGTGACTCCTGTTGGAGCCAAAGATCAGCAGCAGACTGAAACACGTTTTTAGCAGCGTTTAATAAGAATCATGCATTTTTTCCAACAACATATTGCAGCAGCTTCACTCCTCCTAAACAGCCGTGGAGACGATTCGATGCATTGAATAACCGATGAGTCACTGAATCACAGAATGTAAAGACATGAGCTCAGTGTGTGATTCATAGTTACAGTAAAGGAGCAGCAGACTTCTAATGAGGACGCAGAGCATCGGAAAATCAACAACCACTGCTTTAGGGTTTAAAAGAAGCTGTGAGAAAACCCACTGTGTGTTTCCTCAGACGTGTCTTTGCAGCCCTGAAGGCAGAAAAAGACGTCAGAGGATTTTAGAGAACATTCTGATAAAACTGCAAAGTTCTGAGTATTTTACCAACAGTTTGTTTGTTTGAGCACATTCAGGTGAAACAGTGAAACACACTTTGTACGTTTCTTTTTAAAATAATCTACAAACACGTACACATGGTTTAGTTTTATACAGTCGTCCTTTTCACCCCCTTTCATTAAAGAAAAGGCAAAATTCACCACAGTCCCTCAAATAACTAGAAACTGGAAAAAGTAATAATAAATAAAAATTTACAAAATTATAATTTAGTGAAATAAGATGTTGCTTTTGAATTGTGGTTGAAAAGAATAATTAAAAAAACCCCAAAACTGTCATGGACCGATGTGAGCCCTTTGCTGATGAGCAGTGGTCCAGAACACCTGTCAACAGGTGCAGAAGTCTGACTGAGAGTTACAGGAAACACCTGATGGCAGTGATTGGCTCAGAGGGTTGTTCAACTTGTGTGTGTGTGTTGTTTTTTTGTTGTTGGTGTTGTTGTTTTAAATTTAAAAACATTTCTGTTGAACCACAATTCAAAAGCAATGTCTTATTTCACTAAATTATAATTTTGCAAATTTTTATTTATTATTACTTTCATCAATTTCAACTTATTTCAGTGACAGCTGTTTTTTTTTCCTTCTTTAATGGGAGGGTATGAACACATTTGAGGACGACTGTGTATTCTTATAGTGTGGAGAGCAGCTTGTCCACCATTCACAGGGTTGTTGGTTTGAGTCCCCGAATCCCTGAAGCCAAACAGGCCGCTTATCTTTGCAAGAATGTGTGTTTTGCATGTTTTAATTTGTTTACTCCGTCATCGTTAACCTTTCTGCACCACTTTGCTCAGTTTTAGGACTTTCAATGTATTATTTACAAGCAGAGCTGCAACAATTAATCAAGTAGTCAGCTGTTAATTTAATCACCAACTATTCTGAAAATAAATTAATTAGTTTCAGTAATTTTTTAAACAACACAAACTCTTAAATTTATCTGATTCCAGCTTCTTAAATGTGAATATTTTCAGATTTATTTCCTCATCTGTGACAGAAAACTGAGCATCACAGACAAAACAAGACATAAAGATCAAATGTACCAAATGATATCAGACAGGAATGCTGAAGAAATCCAACTTGTTAATGTCAAACTTCCCAGAATTAGATGAAAATGAAAAGCAGCAGATTCTGTTAGAGTGGAAACGAAGCACTGACCGAATATGTGGCTGAATGTCTCAAGCTGAGGGAATTAAAACACAGTTTATTATTTTTATTTTAGTTGTCAGATATCAAATCGATCACCATCTGTTTTGATAATAAATTTTGAGTAATTTTTAAGAAAATACAGCTTCTTTAATGTGAATATTTTGATTTTTTTTCCCTCATTTATGACAGAAAACTTTGCATTGTGGACAAAACAACACATTTATCATCTTCTTCAACACGTTCTGACATTTTTTTGAACCCAACAAATGACAGATTAATTTTTTGACAGTGAAGATAATCGTTAGCTGCAGCCATGTTTACGAGCATTCAGTGGAGTGTATTCAGTTTGTGAATGCTGTAAAAACAACTCAGCAGTCCTGTCTGAGCTTTCTGCTGCATCACAGTGCAAAGATGATATAAACCTGCAAAAACCTGATGAAGAAAAATAAAATAACATAAAACAGAAATGATGGATGATATCATTTGCCGGACATTTAGGAAAATATAATTCAAAATCTGTCATACTTCAAACTGATCCGCGAGGTGTTCAATGTACAGAACACTGTTTTCATCCTGTAACAACATCGCTCTGTGTTTCCTGTTACTCCCTCCTGATCCAGCGACCTATTAAATCTGTTCACCCTCTTTGCATTTAGAGAAAAAAAAAACCCAGAGACTCCAGAGAAGTCAAATGTCAGACGTTTCCTCGCCCTCATACCTCTGAACTGGGACAGTTCTTCTTAAAATACTGCGATCCTCAGAGAAATGTGCCAGAACATTCAGCGTCTACGTAACAGCCAGGTTCCCTCCCTGTACCAGACTATTACTGTTTTAATTTGACTTTGTGATGCTGCTCGAGTGCGAAGACGACGTGACAGAGTTTCACACTATTTAAAACGTCTTTCATCTGCCAGCAGGTTCTGAATCCCTCTGAGGCTCAAGTTTTCTCTATATTTTAGTCCATCCGAGTTTAAACTTGAATCTGGCACTGAAGCAAAAAGCATGTAGATGTTTAATGTTTCATGTAGTTAGAAGACATTTCTAGACAATAGACATACTCATTAGATTTTGGACTACAGTATCTGACAGAGTAATCCGGCCAGTCGCCCTCTGTGGTGGTGAAGTTTGAGGTCTTTCAGAATTCTGCAGCTTCATATTAAACATCCAAAGAAAAAGACTAGTCAGTGTTTGTAGAACAGAATTGGGCCACTGATTATTAACAGTAAAAGAACATTTTAGTTCAATCTCAAACTATTTAGAATATGTGTCGTTTTATATTTGTATCAGTCTGATTTTAAAAGTTTGGATTTAAGACATTATTTCTGTTTATTGTATTTTTATTCCCACTGCTCCGTATTCCTTTGTTCACATCCATCCCATCATATTATTTATGATGATATCAGATGTTTTGGGGGTGAGGCAGCAGCAGCCAATCAGAGCTCCTGCATCTGTCCGTCCTCACAGGCACCGCCCTGGCAGGAGCTGACACTTTTTTTTTTTTTTTTTAAATGTAGATTTAAAAGAAAAAATGAATCAAATATATATAAAATGTATAACAATAACAACAACAACAACAACAACAACAATAATAATAATAATAATAATAATAATAATGTATACAGTCAGTCCTGATTGGTTGAGTTCCATCTACAAATTAATAAATAAAAATAATGAATTAATACAATAATAAACATGTACAAGAATATTTTCTTAATAAAAAATAATAAAATACCTGCAAATACATTAATAGAATAATAAATAAATATTACATAAAACAATAATAAAAAAAAACTTTTGTTAAAAAAGTGTGTTCAAAAAAAGAAAAAAAGGTTTGTTGGGCCTTCCTGTATATTTTATGATTGAAATTTTAGTCAAAAATTTCAGGTTAATCTCTATAATTCTTAACGTCTCAGCATTGTGTTGTAGCCAGGTAAAGTAATATTTTATATACTTTTTGTATATTACTGATCTGAAGCCGAACATTTAAACTTATTAAGCTCATTTATATCGCCATTACATACATTTTTAATTAAGATTTATTTTTATTAATTGTATCAAAAATGAAACAAACATTCACAAATGTTATATATTATATAATATACTGAATTACCTATAAGTTAATGAACAAATAACAACAATAATAATAATAATATTAACGTGTCCGCCTGCAAATTAGCTGTTAGCTAACCGCTAGCTAGCTTGTGTGTCGCCTAGCAACCACTTAGTTTATCTGGTTACGCTATTAAGTCTTTTTACACTAGTCAGCAGATTAAACGTGTTATTTTAGTTTGTTATATTACAGATAATCGTGTTTTAATGATTAATATTTAATTTAAAGCCACACTCAGCCGTGATTATGTTGCTACGTAACAGTTTTTTTCCTCTTCGAGCCTCTGCGCACATTTTCTGCGCACACGCTGTTGTGCGCATCATCTTTTGTTCCCATTCATAAAGCGGCTGCGGCGGCTGATGTCTCCGGTAACCGGGAGCCTCTCACGGAGGACTGCGGGCCCTTTAAGGGTTATGTAGCGGGGCAGCCGATATAGGACGAGCCGACCGTCCGCCTGCCCGCCTGCGTCCCGCTGCCTCCATCATGGCCTCCACACCGCCGCCACCGACACCACCCAGCATGCAGCGACCAGCCAGCGGCCCTTCCCTTCCCGGAGCGGAGACGGACGTCAAGCCGAAGCAGAGGCACCGGTAGAGGCGAGCCGCGCCGGGGAGAGCCGCCTCACATCCCGCCCCCCCGGTCTGCTCCATGCCTCCGTCTAAAGCCAAGAACAGCGATTCGACACAGAGGGGCGCGAACCCGGGCGGCGGCGGCGGCGGCGGCGGCGGAACCATGACCACGGACAGGGATTACTCCGTTAATCTGTCGGTGCAGCAAGTGCTGAGCCTTTGGGTGCAGGGCACGACGCTGCAGCACTTCACAGGTAGGCAAGGTGCAGCACGCTGCTCGCTGCCGTTTAACGGCCATTTTACCGTTAAGTGCACCGGTGATGGGAGAGGCTGGGGCTGACAGCAGGGAGGGACCGCGGGCATCTGGGGCTGCCCTGCCCGCACACCGGGCTGCTGCCGCCGGCCGGGCCACAGCCTCGGAGCCGCCAGATGCTGCTCCTCCCTGCTTCAGGCTCCGGGCAGGTGGAGCAGCCTCCTCTGGGGGTTCTGGATCAGAACCCGTCCTGTTCTTGATGCACTTGTGCTTCAACGCTGGTGGTATCAACTCTGTGAACTCAGCAGTTTGTGGGTGTGTTTGCTCCTCTCACATTTTTCACTGCAACATAAACCAGGACTAGAACTAGGAAGAACCCAAACGGGTCTGTTCTGCAACATGGCACAGCTCTGATGCCACACATCATAGAAACTGAGAAAAAGTTTAATTTCTTTGATTCATTTTGGCCTTAAACTTAAGAAAATGTGTGACCAGTACTGGAACAATCCACAGTAGCTGTACAGCCTGTAGATATTTAACTATGTCCATTCCTACGTCCTCCACAAACATCATGTTCTGCTCATCAGCAGTAGGAAGATGTCACCATGCTGAATGCATCTCCTCTGTTCACTGCTCCTGAACCATGCTGAGTTTTATTTCATTGGTCCAATAGGCTTTATTTTCTGCTCTGTGTGAACACGACCTGCAGTTCAGCAGAAATGTCCCAGAATTCTTCTCATGTGATTCTGGATTGCAGCCGAGTCGATCGTAGCTTCATGGTGGTGCAGAATTTTTCATTTTTTGTACAAAGCGGCTGCAGCAGATTGTATATTTTTGTCAAATTTTTAAATGCGGCATGTAGAATAAAGCGATTCTGATGACATTTAGTGAGTTTAAGGTTAGATTTGCATGCTCGAAGTGTCTAGTTCTGATGAATGGTGCCACTTTTTGCAATTTTTTGAAAGATAGCATTGGGTACGAAATTAAATTTGGCTCAGTTAAATCAGTTTAATGTTTTGCATTTCTTGCTTTTGCCGACAACTGATTGCACTAACATGTCTTTCTAACTTGCCGGTGTTTTAGAGACTTAATAAGCTGCAGATGTGCTGCTGAAGTGTCACTTGTTGATGCAGCAGATTGGGCTTCATTTAGCAATTATGTGCTGAGAGCCAACAAAAGGAAAATGCCAGCAAGCAGATTTTCTGTTTTTTCACGTTGACATGATGAACAAACACAGATTCAGGTGACCCTTGTGCACATTTCATATTTTAAGCAGCTTTAAGGAACCTGCAGAGACGAGTTCTCATGAGTGTGAGCATTTTATCTTTTCCTCTGCAGGCGGGCTGAACTTCCGCAGCAAGAATTTGACGTAACAAAATTTCTGGTTGACAACTATTCTGAACTTCATCACTTTTAAATGTATGAAAATGTGGATTTTAGAGGCACGAATGGGGAGAATGTGTCAAGAAACAGCAGGATTGTTCTGTTGTGTAAACAGAAGATTATAGACGTTCTTAAGTTCCTGCAGAGCGAGAGTGAAGCAGAACCGGACATGCGGTCGCAGCCGACTTGGCACAGACTCCTCTGAAGCATCCTGTGTTGAGAAAGACATGAAGCCGGAGCGAGAAAGAGGCAGTTAATGATGCTGACCCAGCAGGAAGCCGCATGTAGAAGTTAGTGGAAGCCGAGCTGCAGCGGCGGCGAGGAGGAGGAGGAGGAGGCGAAGCTCTGCAGAACGAGCTGCACGAAAACTGCCACCTGATCCTCCGTCGAGCCCTCGGTTCAGCAGCCAGGTGAAAAACGACCTCCTGAGACACGAGATAAGGTCAGAGGCAGAACGTGGAGCCAAACACCGCCGACGCTCATATAAACCTTTAAGATGCACCAACCCCTCTGGCCTTTCTTTGAACCTCCAGGGAGTCGCTGAAACAAATGGGCTTCCTGTTTATGAGATGTGTGTTGCAACAGTTTTACTTCAGCAAACCTGAAATAGAACAAATTTAAATATGAGTGCGTGCTGCAGTGCACTGGTGAACAAACTGACTTTATATTGCTCAGTTTATGTTTGAGACATTTTGAATTGGCTGTGCAGACTAATTCTGATATTTATTCATGTCTCAGTGTGTTTGTTTTAGTTGTTCTGATGGTGAGATATCCGTCTCTAAGCTTCGTGGCACCACCCAAGAAATTTATCAGAAGCATGTGTTTGTGGAAATAGTAACAGGATAACACACACAGAGCTCATTAAGAAGAGTTTACGGTTTGGCCCAATAATAACTCAGTCCAGGTACTCTGGCCCAAGTTTGGTTGCATAAACTGAACCAAGTTTGTATCTCAGCAAGAGACGTACTGATGGAGTTTTCTTGCCCCCAGTCAGTCCTGCAACGCACTAGGAAAAAGATTCTGCCTCCAGTCTGTTCCTTAATGTTCTGTAGAGGGTCAGAAACCTTGTTGTAAAGCTCCAGTAGAACCCTGTCTACATGTGGTGTTAGAGGGTCAGATGTTCTGAGGCTCCAATAGGTGGAGAAAACCTGTATTCTCTCCATTATGTCAGTAAATGTACCGTAGACCAGCTGCAGTACCTGGTTGTTCCACCAGGTGGAGCCTCTTCCTGTTTAATCCTGTAGAGCCCAGAGGAGGCGTCACTCAGACTACAGCTCATGGTGGCAGCAGAGAGCATTGTGGGAGTTTAGCAGCAACGGCAGCATGACAGAGACTCTGAGGAGGTTCATGACCTCCGACCAGAGCTGATGTCATTGACATTAAACACAGCATCAGTACAGTAAATGTCCTTAATGCTCAATTTGTGTTATCATTGAAGTGATTAGTGATGGATAATCCTGCCGATTATTGATAAAGTAAGTATTCTAAATTTGCATCCCCAGCATCCTGATGCAAACTGTCCTCTCCCTTCAGGACACCAGACGTAAACAAAGAACCAGGCTCAGTTTCGGGTCGATACCGACCTTAAAAAAATGCCTGAATCGTCCCTGATCCTGACCTTTGAGGTCAGGTCAGGATTTCTCTAATGTTGTCCAAATGTGAGTCACCACACATGGTCCATAGTCGGTTCAACACTGTTGGACTTAACAACTGACAGTTTAAATGCAGTTCAGATTCAGGTGTATCATGCTAACAGATGTAGCCTCATGCTAAGAGATGTAGCTTCATGCTAAGAGATGTAGCTTCATGCTAACAGACGTAGCCTCATGCTAACAGATGTGGCTTCATGCTAACAGATGTAGCCTCATGCTAACAGATGTAGCATCATGCTGCTAGCTGGAGATGTAGAGGTTCCACAGAGGCCTCAGATTATTTTTTACTCCCAACCTCTTGTATACAGAAGTTGATGTCTAAAAGTGTCGGAGTTTCCCTTTAAATGAACGTGCAACAGCTCGCCTTGTGTTGGAAGAAGCTCCCAGATGATATGATTCTCTTTAGCTGTATCATGTGATGTTTCACATTTATCTCAGTGATGATAAATATCCAAATATTCATCTACAAAGTTAATGTAAAACCTCAAATATTTCTGCTGCATGTTTCAGCTGTTTATCTGCATGAATCACAGTCTGATCGGATGGATGACTGGTTGTTGGATTGATTGTTCTGTAGCTGTTTTGAGTTTAAAGCTGCGCTAATCAGTTGTTTTATAATAACAGTGTTGTGTTTAACACATTTCTTAAGTCATACGGAGTGTTTAATGTCTCTCAGCTCACTGTTTGGGGCGTACATGCAGCAACTTTGCTATTTTTTTTGCTCTTTGAGAGCCTGTTTTCCAGTAAAACCTAAAGAGCTCAGGTGAAGCTGCTGTACGCTTCATTAGCAGCACCAAAATGCACAAATTTAGCAGCTAGCTGGTGATCATTTAGCAGTTAGAGAGCATTTATTGTTCCCTCTGGAGTTGAAATTTGAGACCTAAACAGCTAAAAAAACACTGTGGATGTTGGATTAATGTGTCTTTATTAGTTGATAATATATCAGTGTTTGCTGCTGCTCCCTTTGGGGCCACAAACGTCTATTAATTCAGGCTTTAATTCAGTAAATTCAGTTCATGGTCTGAACTGGAAGCAGCTTCACCAGGATCCTCTTTGCAGTGTTCGCGGTGAGACAAAGTCACAGCAGCAGCATCTGTATCGCCTCCCGCCGGGACGAATCCATCATTCTTCCTCCTGAGAGGTGAACTTAACAGCCTGCAGAGCTTCTGCAGCTTCCTCGCGTTCACTCTGCAGCCGCCCTCGTGCCAAAACTCCGATCTCTTATCAGCCACCAAAAACACGACGGCCGACTTTATTCTGATTCTGGGATTCTGTTGACAGTGGAGCTGTGAAGCTGCCGTGCTGACAAAGAGCTCGGCCGGCGGTGGAGGATTAGCAGAAGTTAATGCAGCTCCGGCTGTGTTTTGGCCTCGTGTCTGTGGACATGACACAGCACTTCACTGAGCTCGTCTCTCAGCCTGTAGATGCTGTTTGGAGCCCGACCACCTGCACCGTCGTCCCCTCAAATCAAATGTGAGCTTCGCCTTCCAGCATCTGCTAAACCACAAAGAATGAGCTGCCAGGAGGAATTTCTATCAGGCGGAGTAAATCAGGAGCCACTGAAACGGCTCGACCTTCCAGTTCTGTCTGTAGATGCTCATTTAGAACTTGATCACATTACACGAAGCCTGTGATTCATCCAGAAGCACTTCTTTAACTAAAGCATTAAGCGTTGGTCAGAGCAGCAGTGGAGCAGGTGACTGATTTATCCTCCACACAGATTTTACTGACATTTGGTTCTCAGCAGGTGTCAGATCCGACTGTTTGAGCTCAGCAATGGAGCAGCAACGCAACGATTCAGAGGCTTTAAGCTGCTTTAAAATACCAATAACGCATTGCAAACATGGTCTGGTGCACCTGGGAGTATCTTATCAGCAAAAAATATAGTTAACGTATGTGCTGACATCTGTGAAAGGAGAATTTCCACTTGTGAGATCAATCGAGTGGAAAAGTAAAGGCCTAATTT